GCGGCGCCGCGCAACGGGCGCCGCGAGAACTACGCGCCCCAGCGGGCCCCGCGCGCCGGGGCTGCACATGGGGCCGCGGGGGCGGATGCGGGCTGCGCGATGGCTGCGTGCGTCGGGGACATCGTGTATCGCAGCGCGGGGGGGCAGGTGGGTGGCTGCGGGGGGGTCCCGGCCCTGCACCTGGTTCTGTGCATGCTAGGCCCCCCCCCTTCGCAGAGTTGGTGCCTACACCGAGCTTGGCACGGGCTTGTGGGGGGTCCCTGCCCTGCCCTGCCCTGCAGCTGGCTTTGTGCATGCGCCCTGGGGGGGCAGCCAGGGTCCCCCCCGTTGCAGAGCTCGTGCCCATCCCTGGTCTGCCAGGGGTCTGTGCCCTGCAGCTGGCTTTGTGCATGCACTCGGAGGGGCCCTAGGTGCCCCCCCGCAGAGCCGGTGCACGCACCGGGCCCCATCAGCCGTGGGGCACCAGCAGCTTGCTCCTGGGCTCAGGCCTCTGTTGCGGGCCCAACGCGGGGGCGACGGCATGGCGGGGCCACTGCGGGCACCGGGGCTGGAGGGGAGGCCGCATATCTCCCTGCCCTCAAACTCCGCTTGCCCTGCAGAGCTCGGACTGCGCCGCCTCTGATGACCAGGCGCTGATCCGCGCCTACGACCAGGCCGTGCGCTCCTGCAAGGTGAGGGGCCTGGGCCGCTGGCGGGGGTCCCCGTGTCCTGCGCACCCCCTGCCCGGGGCTCTGCCCCTCAGCCAGGAGAGCCCTGTGCCCAGGGTGGGGCCAGGAGCGGGCCCCGCCTGCTCCACGATGCCCTGTCCCCGTGTCGGATCCTCCTTCCCTCTGCAGGTCCGAGGCTCCCCCTGCCCTGCAGGGAGGGGCTGGTCCCTGTTGGGGCACGGGGGTCTCCCACGTCCCTTCCCTGCCGGCAGCTGCCTTGGTGTCTCCCCTGGTGCAGGAGGCCTCGGGAGCCTGCGAGGACCCGGCGTCCGACAGCTCCAGCTCCAGCTCCAGCTCCAGCTCCTCGACGTCGAGCGGGGCTGAGAGCGCGAGCGATGAGGAGGAGCAGGAGCGGCAGGAGGCAGAGTCGGCGTCCCAGGTGCGTGGGGAGCCAGGCGCGGGGCTCTCCAGATCCCACCCCTTGCTGAGCTGGTCGGGGCAGTGGGGAGGGGGGAGCCGGTGGGGTTTGGCAGTAGCGAGCCTCTTGCACTGGCGCAAGCTTTGCCCGTGCTGGGGGGCTGGGGCTGCGTGTTTTCCTGGCAGGCGCTGGGCCCCCTTTGCTGTGTAGCAGGGCAGGGGGCTGCTGCCGCTCCCCCCTGAGCCCCATGTCTGGTCCCCTGCAGTGGGAGGTGGGCGCCGCCTGCTGCGCCGTCTGGTCGGGAGACGGGCTGATGTACCCAGCCCGCGTCGTCGCCCTGCGCCTGGCCGAGGGCACCTGCGTGGTAGAGTACGAGCACTACGGGAACCGGGAGGAGCAGAGCCTGCGGGACCTGCTGCCCCCCGACCGGACCCCCGAAAGCTCACTGCGGCCCGGCAGGACGGTGAGGCCCTGTGCCTGGAAGCCGTCTCCCTGGAAGGGAGCGGGGTTCGGTTTGGGGCGGGGGTGAGAGCCCAGGACCCTCCAGAAGGGGAAACTTGACAGGGGTTGGGGGCGATGGGAGCAGTCGCAGGTCCCGGGTTCTCCACCACGGTCGGGCCCTGCGATGGGGGGCTGATGTGACCTGCGCCCTTTCCTCAGTGGCAGGTGGGCGACGCCTGTCGCGTGGTCTGGTTGGAGGACGGGCTGCTGTACCCGGCCACGGTCAGGTCGGTGGACGCCGCGGCGGGGACGTGCCTGGTGGAGTTCGACGGCTATGGGAACCGGGAGGAGCAGACTTTGGAGGACCTGCTGCCCCCAGAGAGCTCGCCGCACGGGAACCCTGCCAGCAAGGTGGGTGGGGAGGGCTATGCCATGGAGGGTGCCTGGGCTATCGGGGCCACTAGCTAGGCCTGGCACCTGGGTCTGTCCTGCAGTGCCACACACCTTGGCATCTCCTTGGGGACTCCTGCTTCCCTCTCACCCCACCCCCTGCTCACTCCTTACCTGGCTGCACAGCGCCCAGCCTCGCTGGCTCCCCTGTCCCAGTGGCAGTGCCAGAGTGTCCTGGGGCGCAGGCTGCTCTGACCCTCGTGTCCCCTTGGCCAGGTGGAAGAGGATGCACACAGGGTCCCCCGGAGGCCAAGCCCCCTCCCCTCCTGGCAGCTGCCCCACGGCCGGAGGAAGCCAAGCGCCACAGGGAAGTGGGCGCACCACTTGCCTCCTCTGCCTCTGCCCTCCAAGGTGAGTGCCCCCCTACTCCTCCTGGCCTGGTCCACCCTGCTGCCACCCCAGAGTTGAGCAGAGTTGAACTGGGCTTGGGCTGAGAAGAGAGACGTGCGCTGCTCCATGTTACACCCCCAGCACAAGCTGCTGAGGATGCAGGTCCCTTTCCATGCTGCCTTTCGGCAGGGCCGCATCCCTGCCACCCTGGACGGGGAGGGGAGGCATGTGTCTTGCTGAGGGCACCTGGTCCCACTCCCCTGCCATGTATCAGAGTTGCTGCCATGGGGCTGGCGTTGCACCGTGCCAGGCTCCTCTCCAGCCTGCCCCAGCTGGTCCTGCTGTTTGACTCCTTTTTAGAGCAGCATCCGGTGGTCCGGCCTATCCCTGCCCCCGCCCTGCCGACCCCCCTTGCCCCTGGTGAGTGTGCGCATTTCTCCTGGGCACCATTTGCAGCCCTGGCAGAATAGGGCCCAGCAGTTCCTTGCCCCCTGCTTAGATGTGGGGGCAAAGCTATCAGAAACCCAGCAGCGCCGGGGGTTGGGACCTGGCCATGTGGAGATGCCCAGGGCTGCGGGGCTGAGTTGTCCTGCTGCTCCGGCCCACGGGGAAGCAGGTGCCGGCGCGCCAGGGAGCCGCCAGGTGGCGCCAGCAGGCTGCACGTGGGCTCCTCTGTGGCTGGGGGAAAGGGCAGAGCCGAGCCTTGGTGCAGGGTGGGGGGCTGTACTGGAGGGGCAGGCGGGGGTGAGGGGTCCAGACCTGACCTGACCCGGGCTCTTGTGCTGCTGCTTCCAGCTGATGCCCCCACCGCCCCCCCAGGACCTGCTGTGCCCAGACTGTGAGGAGGAAGACGCCCTGGCCTGCATGCTGCTGAGCTGGCACCTGAGCGGGTACCACACCGGCTTCTACATGGTGAGGCCTGGCCCTGGGGGCAGTGCCCTGTGTGTGGGGCACAAGCTGGTGCCGCTGAGCCGTGGCACGCCTGGGCTGGGAGATGGCTGGGGGCTTCCTGCTGGGGGTGCGAAGGGCAGTGGGGCTTGGGTCCTGGGTGCCAGCGCGGGCTGCACTTCACTCGGTTCCCTTGTGTCGAACGGCGTTTCTCCCCGCTGTGCCTTGCAGGGGCTGCGGCAGGGTCGGGCCGAGGCCGTAAAGTCCACGCCGAAGCCGGTGTCGCGGCAGAAGAAGGCGTCATCCCGGAGCTAGGAGCAGGTGGGCTTCTCCCGGTCCCCTGCGATCCCAAGCCCCTGCTCTGCCAGTGCTCCACGAGCCCAACCTTGACGCCCTCCTCTGCCCATGCACTACCCCCCGGCTCCTGGGCAGACCCAGCTGGCTGCATTGGGCTGCCTGGCAGGTCAGGATGTGGGCAAACTCCTCTTACGGGGCTGAAGACTCGGCTCCATCCCTCCCTTGCCCTGACAGCAGGTCCTCACCCCACCAGGGAAGCGGGGGAGTTGTTCCCTTCCCAGGCAGGCCCTAATTGGCCATCCCAGCAGGTCTTTGCAGCCCCTGTCCCCCTCATTGTCACCTGTTCCTCTTTACAGTTGCAGACCTTTGCACGCCCCTCGGGGTGGACGGGGCGGCCCCCAGGCTGGGCTGGCCCCGCACTGCTCATCTGTCCTGCGTCTTGGAGCCACGACTCCAGCCCTGCACTGACCAGGCCAGGGAGCAGCGTGCGGCTGAGCCGGGGCACAGCCCGGGCACGGTGTTGCAGGTGCAGATTGTCTCTCTCCAATAAACCCAGTTTGTCAGGCCCTGCGCGCCCCCCACTCATTGCTCCCCATGTCCCAGCTCAGGACAGGAGAGGGGGGCACTGGTGGGAGGGAGGACCGCAGCTGCTCCGATCCAGGGGTACCAGCCTCTACCTGCACTCGCTGTCCGCTCCGAGCTGCTCCGGCTTCAGCTGTAGCCACCGACCAGGAGCCCGGCAGACAGTGGGCAGGCGTAGCCTCCCTGCCCGGGGCCAGGGGATTGTGTCTCCTTGCGATGCTGCAGGGGTTTGCCCTGAGCCAGGCTCCGGCACTGCCCACGCTGGCCAGAGCCTGCCGCTCCTGGGGTGTCCTTGCGGCGGGCGTCCCCGCCGGGGAGGCGCTGAGCAGGAGGGGGCGGGGGCGCAGGTGCTGGCCATGGTGAGCTGGCGTGAGTCATGTTTGCTCGAGGAACGAGGTGCCTGGCCTCTGCCCTGTGACGCGCGGCAGCTCGGGGCTCCAGCCGGCGAGGAGAGGGAGCCTGCGTCATCATGCGCCGAGCAGGGGGCGGCTGCTGGCCCCTGGCAGACAGGCGGGGAAGGGGGGCTGTCTGGCTCGGGAGCGCCGTCCCTGGTCCCCAGTTAGGAGGACCGGGTGCTGGCGTGCACCTCTAGCAAGGTGGAGCCGGGGGGGATGCCCAAAGTGGGGCTCTGACCCCAGCAGCAGCAGCAGCTGCCTCAAAAGCTCTAGGGGTCCATGAGGCCCAGCAGCTCCTAAATGGGGGTCACAGCAGTTACTGGGTGGGGCTGGGGGTGCAGGAGCCCCCGGTGGCAGCGTGGAGCAGGGTCACCTGGACCTGTGAATGCTCCCCGGTGCTCTCCTAAGCCCTAGGGCTGGAGAAGCAGCATCTGCCTCCATGGTGCAAGAAGGGGTGCCCGTTGCCCCAGTGTGTGCACGCCGCCTCCTGGGGTGGCTGCCGGGGTGCCCTGAGACTTGCTGCGGGGCTGCAGGGCCTGAAGCCAACTCGGCTTGGTGGGGCTGGTCCCCACTGCCTCCCAGCCCCCCCGAGATCCCCAGGGCTGAGCACGACGAGCCGCCGTGTGCCACTGCGGGCGCTGACGGAGGGCTGGGGAAGTGGCTGCCCCATGGCTCAGCCCTGCTGCCTGGTGCCGAGGGGGGATGGCCTGGCTGCGGCAGGCGGGAGCAGCCCGGGCCCTGGCTCGTCTCCCATCGATTTTTCCAAGCTTTGCCTTTACTCTGCAAGCGCGGAGCCGGGCGCCTGCCCCCCTCCCTGAGCCCCTGTGAGCTGGGGGCCTGAGTCATTGCCTGACTTGGAGCCTGGCGGCAATGGGGTGGGGGGGCTTCTCCGTTCACCGCTGCCAGCCCTTTGTGTTGTGGGGGAAACTGAGGCACAGGGCTCGGTTCGCCGCTCCCTCCCCTGCGTGGGCGCATGCCTGCCCCCCCACCCCCCAAGGGGCTGCTGGGGTGGGGTCTCCCTGGGGGAAAGCGGCCTGGCCCTGGCCCTGGCCCTGGCCCCCGGCACGCGCACGCACACGCCGCGGGCTGCGGCTGCGGCTGCTGCTGGGGTCTGGCCCCGGCCGCCGT